ATTGCTTCAATTGCCTGCCTCCCGCACGTGCCCCGACCCGGGCCAGGGGTCGACCCTGCAACCCAGGTCTGTGCCCTTGACTGGAAATTGAACCCGCCACCCTTGGGTGGGCAGGCCGACGCTCTAACCACTGAACCGCCCCGGCCAGGACTCAGCCTTCACTCTTGGTTCTTCATTTCCTTCACTACCTGGCCCCAAGTATAACATGACGACTCCCGGGGCGCCAACTCTCCAGGCCTCCAGCTCTACCCCCTTCCGTGAGTGGCTTCCACCTGGGCAGTTGGGTGTGACAGGGAGTTGTCCTTTCATGTTGCTTTGGGGTCAACGGGGAGACACTGGTCAGAAACCATACTCCGGAGGTCTGGGTTGTTGGGTTTCTTATTTCAGACCTGGAGGGACAGACCCCGCAGTAAATTCGGAGCCATTTGGAAACTCGCCCCCCGGGATTGCCCTGCAGCCGCCAGCCGTTGCAGGGTGAGCTACAGTCATATATCCAGGCTGCCTGCGCTCCCTGTCTCCGGCATAACGGCTTCTTAAAATTAAAGATATATCTCATCGGAGAAACAGCGCAGCATAAGCCTTCGAAAATTGGCATGGCCAACTGTTGATGACGACTCTAGGAGGGACAGGCGGTCCCTCCAGAATAAGGTACTGAGTGGAGACCAGGAAGCCCGTCCAGCCAGCACCAGCTCGGTGCCCATCCGACCTGAGCAAGAACCAACTGCAACCTCCCAGCGCTTCTGCTTGGCATGTGTAACGTCATTGCCTCTTCACTTTGAAAGGCCATTTGGAGGTGTTAAAGGACAGAATTCAACTGAGTACATTTAAAGATCTAATTAGCTTTATTAAACGATTCCTGAATCTGGCAGCGTCCCATCCAGCAACTAGAAGGGCGCTTGGTGGGGTTGTACCAAATGGAAGGAATTTACAGCAAAAAGGGTGGGGAAAGGGAGCTCTTAACTAAAGAAAAGATTGCTTCTAGACCCCAGTGTCTTGTTTTGGGTTTTATCGTGCGGATCACCTCTTCTTTCTGTGGGGCATGGAGAGGGTCCATGTGACAGATGACCTCNAGATTGCTTCTAGACCCCAGTGTCTTGTTTTGGGTTTTATCGTGCGGATCACCTCTTCTTTCTGTGGGGCATGGAGAGGGTCCATGTGACATGACCTTATTGGTGTCGACCAGATAATTCCAGACTGGTTAAGACTCTGTTTCTGGGAGAGGGTGAAACAGGTCAGGTATTAAATCTAGTATCTGAGACTTGAGCACAAGTGACACCACTTTGGGCCTGTGGTTTTCTCTNATTGGTGTCGACCAGATAATTCCAGACTGGTTAAGACTCTGTTTCTGGGAGAGGGTGAAACAGGTCAGGTATTAAATCTAGTATCTGAGACTTGAGCACAAGTGACACCATTTTGGGCCTGTGGTTTTAACAGAGGAATAGGCATACCTTTTATATTTTCATTTTGCATATGAGAAAAAATTTAAGTGTTAAATTCCCCAGCTAGTAAGTAGTAGAGCAGGGATTCAAACCCAGTCTTAATGTACATACTAATATATTGTATTTGTCCCCCAGAACACCACAAACAGTGCTGGAGATCTAAAAGATGTGTTGATCATTTTGGGAATAAATTAGATATGTAGTAAGGATAGAAAACAGTAAAAATTATCCAACAGGATCAGCAACCACCCCACCTTTTTTCCTTGTGTTTCAACCAGTTATTTTCCACGTTATTCCTTCATGCAACATTTACTGAGCACCTACTATGTGCCAGGTACTGTGCTAAGTGGAACACAGAAATAAGACACAAACCCTATATTTAAGTAGCTCACAGCTCAACAAGAAGACTCCCAAAGGTAAAGAGGTAATTTTTAAATTATCAAACAAGTGGAGTGGCACTAGCAGGCCACAAAGGAGATGGTCAGGGCAGGCCTCCTAGAGGAGGGGGCATCTGAGCCAAGAGGTGAAGATACAAGCAGGAAGAGAAAGTGAGAACAGGTAAGACTTTCACAGACTGAGGCTACAGTGTGAGCACAGGCAGGAATGATGCTGGGGATTCCGAGGCGTTTCCTTTGCTGAAGTGGAAAGCGTGGAGTGTCCATCATCCAGGACAGGCAGGTGGACCCAAAGCAGACGCTCACGAGGCGCCAGAGGCGGGAGACGCGGAACAGTGGAGACGTGGGGGGTAAGGGAGAGAAGAGCCAGGAATTACTGTTCCGTCACCACCTGCAGAGACAGTCACAGCTAAAAAGCAGTTCACGTCCCTGAGTTCTGTTTCTCCCCGGATTTCTCCCGTTTTCTCTTAAAACATGCAAACTAGTTCCTTAACACTTTTTGTAGCTATTTCATGACAAATGTTATCACATTTCATAGCCAGCAGATGGCACTAGGTCTATATAAAATATTTTGCCCACTAACGGTTTTCAGTGGGTATTTTAAAAGAAATTGTTTTTTATAATACATCGTTTCACTAAGTATGGGGGATAAACAATATTTCAGATTAACATAATTCTGCTTTTTCCAACATTGTAGAATCTAATAAAGCCCAACTGTTCATTTAAAATAACTGGACTTGGCTAGAGTAATTCTATGACCAAGTTCTGGTGTTTACTGTTTCATAGACGTGTACAATGTGTGTATACTATGCCTTCACGGTTTGCATGTCTGGACTCCACTGTTCTCACAGGACTTTTCTCCATCCTGGAATCTCTGAAATTAGACAAGGGTCTGGCACTGTGAGGAAGGACAGGCCTCTCCGAACCACACGGTCACACTACTGACAATGGCTGCTGCTAGTTGGGTAATAAAAATGACCTTTTTAAAAAATAAAAACTGTATTTTTCCTATATATTATAGAACATGGGTGTTTGATGTACAAAAACGAATGTGTTGGGTTATGAAAACAGAATTCTCATCATGCGGCAGCTAGAGGCCAGTATTCCTGTTTATCGACACAAAACAAATGCAGGACTATTCAGAATTCTGAGATGAGGTAACCCACCATGCAACTTGACGTTACTGAACTGGCAATTTAGCAAGCGGGGAAGAGGGAGCACATGGAAATACCGTTTGTTGAGTCCTGCACGTGCCAAGGACTTTCGCACACTCTTACTAATCCTCATAACGACCCTTCCAAGTAGGTCCTAAGACTTCTGATTTAAAGGTTAAAAAAACACACAAAAAACCTGATGCTCAGAGAATCAAGAAACATGACCAAGTTTAGCACAGTGCTTGACATACAGTAAGTGCGCAATAAATACCTTCTGAATGGGTGAAAAGTAATACATCTAGTAAATGAAGTGTCAGTATTCAAACCTAGACCTATCTGGTTACAAAGCCCATACTGTTTTCATCACATACACCGCCTTCTGCTTTAAAATGGCTAAGAAATATCATTGCCACTGGAAACATGGTTCACAAATCCAGGAACCTGAGATTTCTACCTTCATATCAGAACTATGTCCATCTCAGGACTCGTGCTGGTTCAAGGACGAGGAAAGATAGAACACACACAGGATCTCCAAGGCCTCTTTTAATTTTTAAACATACATAGCACATGAAGACAACATAAATCCATATTAATACATTATATCTACATGAAACATTTTATTAGTCAATACAGCTTGTCCCATTTTTTTGGGTGTTCAATTCTGCAAACTTTAAAAAATGTTTCCTATGAAAACACCATCCAATGTGTGTTATATTAATTTTATGTTAGGTGTTATGTCTTTTTATTTGCCTCACATACCAACACAAATTATTTGAAAAAGCTAAAGTAAAATGTGGCATGCCTTCTTAGCTGCTTTGTATCCTGTATTAAAATATTTTACAAGTATGAGTTGAAAAATAATTTTATTGGCTTTCCTGTATATAATCTCCTACCTACTATAAGTGAACTAAATTATGGAATTAAGTCATTTTGTTACCTCAAATGTAGAGGGTGGTCAAGAACATAAGGGAATTACAAAAGCTCCAAGATGTTAATTTAAAATAGATACACATTAAAGATACTATAGATGTGGCATATTTAACATCTATTAAGCGGAGAGTATCTTTGCATTTAGCAACAGTATCTTCAAGATAACTACCCCTTTTCAAAGCATTATTGTTGGGTAGGTTTTATATTAGAATTTATAAAACATCACCTTCCTCATTGAAAACCAAAAACAAATGAGGACTTAAAATGTATTATTACAAAAGACAGTGACCAGAAAAAAAGGAGTATGTTAAATGACCTACGCGGCTACCAAGACGAAATGCCTTTGCCTCATTCAAGATCTAGAATCTTAAAATCTCATTTGATAAACTTAACGGGACTTTCTTTTTTGATTGAGTTTAACCCCAAATTATGTCATGTACAACAGCCAATTTTTATTTTACCTGGATATCAAAAGAAAAACCACTGGATTCTGAAGACAGATAAATAACTTATTGAATTTAGGCTGAGAATCAACAGAAAAAATACTCATCTGGTTGGGTAAAGAAATTCGAGATGTTCAGAACATTACATAGTCGGCTGTTTTTAAAAAAATGCTTAACTTGAAATGGTAAAAAGTTATTAAAAGTGATTAAAGACCTTTCCTGAGGCCAGTAAAAGAAACAGCCTTTGTAGTGGCATGGTTATAAACAAATGTCCTCACACAGGCAGGAAGTTGTGGTGTCAGGATCTGAAGTGTCATTTGAGAAACGGCTTTACTCTCTCCAAGTGGTTTCGAGAGTCTAAGCCAGTACCTCCTGGTACCAGAGACAATCTGAAGCAACTCACCTGGCGGGGTTCAGAAGGACATACACATCTTTGATTTATTACATTTCACTGTTCTTTTACATACAATTTTTTTAAACTTTAAGATGAGCATCTGTTTATGCAGTATGAAATGAGTTAGTTATTGAAATGACAAGCTTAATAAGGCTGACATTCAATGGAAAACAAATACTTTACCCTTCAGGAATCAGAAACAACAGGTGATTTTATTATCTTCTTCTTAAGGGTCCTTAGTAAAGGCTGTGATTTTTATTAACGCCAATAAGCCAAAGCAACGGTTCCCAATGCACTTCTTCGCGCCGTATGATCGGGCTGTGTCCTCAGTCGACCTTCAACACCCTGTACATGCCGTTCTGAAACACGGTGGTGAAGTGAGGCCGAGCATCCTTGAGCAAGATGCTGCATAAGGGGGGCTTAGCTGCGTTGGAAGGGTCTTCCAAGTCCCAAATTTCGAGCATACTGCAACCAGGCCTGCAAACGAGCCACAGTAAATCATAGGAACAATGCATTCATATTCAGAGGACACATCCAAGTTATAGAGCAGCTCCTAGATTTTGAGAGACTAATTTTTCAATAAACTAGAGATTTTAAGACACTATTTCAGAAAGCATAAACTCAATATTTAGAGATAAAAATGAAATTATGTTGCATTTTCATGTTCCACTTAAATAATAATGTTACTGAATCTAATAAAGGATCAGTATACATTCAGAACTATATTTTAAAAATTCATTTTTGAAATAAATATAAATCAATATATTTTCTAAATGATATCACCAACCAACATAAGGTCTATTAGTAGTGGAATGAGACAAATAATTCCTGATGAAATTCATATTTTTGAACTTAAATTGGTGTGGAATTAGCATGAAAACACACAGTCCAAGACGGGAAAGGGAAACTCTTATGCCAGGTTTGTTCCCATCAACCGTTTCTCATTTGGGTCGCTCTATGAGTGGACTGAATGAAGTAATATTTCTCACTAAAGAATATTTTCCTTAATTATTTGACTATTTAACAGCGGCTTTGCAGATTTTGACTGCTAAGTCCAACATCTGGGCCTACTCAAATCTGTTTCTATCAACTTTTTTCCTTAGTATTAGTCACACTGTCCATTTTTTTGGAGGTCTGATCATTTTTGGTTAGAAACTGGACTTTGAAGATTATAAATTGCCATGATTCTGGAATCTGTTTTGTTCTTGTGATGACTATCGATTTGTAGTCAATTAACTTGCTGGGATAGCCTGTTATGTGCAGCAGCTATCCCTGCTCAGTATTTTCCAATTCCACCTATCATTAACTTGTAAAATTTTTTTATATAAACTATATATGTAAGTCCTTCATCAGATATATGCTTTGCAACTGTTTTCTCCCAGTCTGTGACTTGCCTTTTCATTTTCTTACCATGTTTTGAGGCAAAGATTTCAATTCTGATGTATATAATTTACTTACATTTTATGGTTAGTGCTCTGTATTCTAAGATGTCTTTAAAATTTGAGCTTTTACATTTAGTTCTGTAATCCACGTCAATTTTTGAGTATGGGTCATGTTTCAAAATTTTTCTTCTATACAGATATTCAGTTAGATCAGCAACATTTTCTAAAAGACTCCTTTCCCATCCAAGTAAAAAATATTAGTTATCCATAAGTTTACTGCCTAGTTTCCAAATATGTATGGATTTACTAGGTACCTGTTTATAGATTTCTAATTTAATTCTGTATAATTTCACAACATTTAAACACACTGAGTCTACTTTGATGGCCCAGCATATCGTCTTTTGATGAACACTTCACTCCATGTGCCCTTTAAGAGAACATGTGTTCTCCAGCTGTTCCCCATAGTGGTACATAGATGTCAATCAGATCAGGGTCTCTGATACTGTTTGTTGCTCACATCTTTTACATCCTCACTGACATTTTATCTACTTTTCTCAGCAGAGAAAGGAATGTTAACATTTCCAACTATGACTGAATATTTGGGGTTTTTTTTGCTTTTAGTTCTGCATATTTTTACTTTGTGTACTTTGAAGTACTGTTCAGATGTCCACACATTTATAACTGTTATGTATTTTGATGAATTAATCCTTTTGTCATTATAAACTATCTATCTATCTGGGGCAATAAGCCTTGTTTTGAAATCCACTTTGTTCTGTTAAATTTAACATTACATGCACACACATGAACATTATGATGCTCCTGTTTCTTTTGCAAGATGCCATTTCTTCCAGGATACATTTACTAGATAATGAAACTATATAAAAATAAGGTACTAAAATTTCTGAACTTACCTTTTCAATACTGTTATAGCCTAATTCCTAATTACCTATAGGAGAAGTAAAAATGTTCAATTTTGGGCTTAATACAACTAAACACCTCTTAGATCAAGGAGTCTAAAAGAAAAGGCCTCAAGATATCCATCAAACATTTTTTTAATTTTAAGATTTTTAGACATTCAAAATTCTGAAATTTAAAAATTTTAATTAAAAATACTCTTATTATGTCCTTTTAAGGTATGTGAAACTTTTGTCCCAAGTAATTTAGCTGTATAGCAGAATGCTAATTTCTCACTTCGCTGTAAATTCAAATCTGTATTTCACACATCTAATAAAAATTATCATAAAACTTGAAAAATCTTTATGAAAAAAGCTGTATTTAAGATAATAAAATTTAAAAATTAGGAAACTAAAATACAGTATAATTTTTTGAAATTAAATTCTACTGAAATGATAGTATAGTTTTACTTTCCTACAAGAAATAATTTTAAGTAAAATATTTTAATGAAATTTATTTAGAATAAGAATTTTTAAAGAATCAGGACTACTTTAATAAAGTAAAACAGTTGCTGCTTAAAAATATATCATAGGGCTCATACTCACTTAGTTCTTACGACACACCACGCCTCTTCTAAAACGTAGTAATTCACATGTAACTCCGACAATTTATCCCTTACTTCTTTTGCAGATTTTCGACTATATGCGGAATAAACTATTTTTGTCCGGGCCCTTTAATTTTTAAAACAGGTTAAGGAAATTTTAATATATAATAATAGAATGGAGTAAATAAATTTTGCTAGTAAATTAAAATCTGAATGCTCACTGGATGGAGCATTTATATATATGACCCCAAATACATTAATTATTTTGGGGTAGTGGTTTCCACACTCCTTATATTTTGTGCATGCTCAAACATACAGCAGTTTGAATTTTGCATGTATGGCTTGTTTATAAACCAGTTTAGGATCTAGAGTTAGATAATAGGATAATCATTCACAATATAAAGTTTGCTTCATACAATTCATAAAAGAATTAATCTCACAGAACACATTCAGGTAGAGGCTAAATACAGCTGAAACAGATTTCAGGAGATAATTTCATCGATAGAAGCTCTGAGAAGCAGGAGTTGAAGCTGAATGTAGGAAACAGAACATCCAGACAGAGGGCGTCGAGGGTAGCCGTCAGATAAAGCACCTTTGCAGAAGCTTGGGACACAGGGATGGTCACCAAAATTCGGTACAATACATGGCTTAGCCCTAAATGGGAGTTTTTATGAAATCCTGAGCAAATTACCATTTATGTTCTAGACATTTCTTGGAAGTTCAAGCAAATAGGATGCCCAATCTCCATGACAAGACATAAAACTTTAAATAATTTAAAAATATACCTGTAACAATCGGCCAAAAATGTATGCAGAAAAAAGGGTTACCCTGACAATTACTAGAATAATTAATTTTTAAAAATCAAGCATTTAAGAAAAACATAAGTGTCAGACTCCAATGGAAACTAGAGTTCTCATAACCACCTAGCAAAAGAACACCCTAAATTTTCATAAAAGCATCTAATACGTCAAATTTCATATATTTTCCTATCTGTTAATAAAGGCTAGTCACGGGCCAGCAGTAAGATGGAGAATGGGTTCTTAAGTCAGGCGGAGGGGCGGTGGAGTCCGGGGCGGGGGCTGGAAAGATAAGGCCACGGGCCAACCATCTCAGCTCGTTACTCCTGAGTTTTACTGCAATGAGCACACGCAAAGCGCGCACATGCGCACTCACACGGAGGCAGTCATAAATGTGGCCCATGTTCCACTTGGCCACAGTTGGCTTTTGCTTCTGTCCCCAGAGCCTAGCAAGCTGCTTTAGGGCCCACAGGCCCACGTGATCTCTGGGTGGTTGTTACACGTTTTAACCTGTAGCATGGATGAAGTGAGCGCGTGTGCGAGTGTAAACACGTTTCCCAGTGCTGAGCGTCAGCACCAGGTGTGAGCGTGCTGGGGGCAATGTCCCCTCAGCTGCCAACCTCAAGTCCGCGTCCTCGTAGTGCGGGTGGTTCACGATGGGGCGCAGCGTGGACAGCTTGATGCTCGCCATCGTCGGCATGGCGCCCGCGAACACGGCATCTGAAAGGCGACAGTCCTTCGTGACATATTTAAAGAAAACCAAGAGTGACTTATCTGTCACAGCTGAACCCAAATGAAGGATGCTGCAGGACGCAAACAACCACTTGCATGTTACGTCCCTTCGCTCGATCCTGACTGCCCACCACAGTAAGAGCCAACCTGGTGCCAGGCGGTGCTAAATGTCGTTACCGGGACCACACAGTTTAATCTGCACAAGTTCACACAGTGGGTTCTCTGTGAACAATCCTGCGTTCCTGATGTTAATGAAAATTCTCTTTGACGGTTACCTGGGGGGACTGACAGAGGGTGCGGGGCGCGCTGTGAAAAGCTCTGCTTCAGTGGCCGTCGCAGTGAGCCTGCTCGCGACCGACGCCGGAGCGAGCGACCGTGTGTGTGCATTTTCAAATGTGTGCACAAAACCAGCCACCCGCATAACTAAGCAGCTGCATACCTGGTCTGGTATTGTATTTGATCCACTGTATCAGTTCTTCCTGAGGCAAATTATTAAATTCTCCTAGTATGCTCCACTGATTATGGAGGTTTGCACACCCTTGGAGTGACATGACCGTTAGAATGCCAAAGATGACATTCTCAAAACGAATTCTGCAAAAAAGCCAGCCAAAGAGCTGGAATGAGAGAAACCATTTATTTATCATTCTTATGTGAACAGTGCTCTCGGGTCAGTAATTAATACTCTCACCTTGCTACTTAAGCCAGGGTGGATTACCATTTGATATTGTCAAGTGCACTAATCACTTACAGAGCTGCCCTCAGCTCCTGTTACGAACAGCAAGTATTTTTACGGACATCCTAAATAACAGGGCAAGCCCACTAGCGCGAACATGTATATTGCTTTCAGGAAAAGCAGCACCTCATATCCTAGGACAAGACCCTCATGATCAAAACTATTCTAAAGAACGAACCCCAGAGCGACTTTCCCCGGGGATTCTCCAAGCCAGCACTTCCACCGAGTCTCCTCTCGCATCAGAGGAGCGCCGGGGCCGGGGGCCACGGGCCTAGACACCCCTGCACAGACCTGAGCTCCACCAAAAGGCTACGTTTGTGGGCAGGGTCACGGACATAGGAGAGGGTGAGCCCATCGCTCGTCTCAGGAATATCAGTCACAGCCTGGGAGTCATCTCACAGCTACTCAGAGTTGCTCGCCCTACTCCACAGGGAAGCGTGAGCCAACCCTGTAACTCATCTAAGGGGACACGGCCTTTCTGTGCTCTGGGGCACTCGGCAGTGACGGGAGCCGCGCCACAGCAGCCACACAGGACGAGGGACGGGGGACGAGCGCCTTACCCGCCGAGAGCATATCAGGGAAGCCATCACACACATGTGAGGCGTCAGGAACAGCTTCAGCCTCATAATTAAAACGGCAAGAGCAGTGAATGCGAACAGCTGCAAGGTGTGGAAAATCAGCTACAAAAACACAAAACAAAATGAGTTTCACTTTACATATTGTTAAATTGGTAAGTATAAAATAAAGTGTATTAAAACTACGATTCGCTAGGACAAGGATCTGTTAGCTTAGTAAGAAGTCTACTAATATTTATTCACTCGACAAAGCTAAGCTGAATGCCTACTACATGCCAGGTACTGTTCTGGGTGCCACGGATTCAACATTAACAAAACAGCGAGCAATTTCTGCCCTCGTGAGGTTTACATTTTAGTATATTTAGTAAAGAGAGACAGAAAATAAAGCAAAACTAAATCCATTATATGGTCTTTTAGGAAGTGGTGGGTGGGTGCCTAGTGTTTTTCCATGTCTCCACTGAAAACTTATCCACATGTGAGCGCAGGAGCCCTGCTACACCACCTTCCACAGCCGTAACGCTGCTGCTGCTTGTTAACTGACTGTCACATCTGTCTGGGCAGAAGCCCGGCCTCCAGTCACAGGCCTCGGGTACCCATCCTGATGGCTGAGCAGCTCAGTGGCCGAGAAATTCATGTGACTGTCGAATGCACAAAAGAATAAATGAATGAAGGTAACTTAATTTAATCATGCTCCACGGTCCTACATCAGCCTTCGAGCTTTCCAATCCTTACCACTGGTCACAACAGAGCGGGTTAAAATGTGAGGAGGGTCAGCAGACATTTACCACCACGGCCGAACCACTCAAGCTCCGCTCATGGCCGTCAGCAGCGAGGCTGCACCTCGGTAAACCGGCCTTGAGTTAGAATCTACTCCACAAATCTACCAGAGATTAAAATGAAGGCTTTACCTCGCCCTGTTCAAGGAGCTGTTTTCTGAAATAAAACAAAAATAGTCTCTATTTCCTAAACGTCCATTATTCTATGAGTCCATAAAAATAAACTTTATTTCTTCTTAGATCTTAAAAATTTGATTGTCTCTTAACTACTTAGAAGCATAAAGAAAAATAAATATATTAGATGATATCATTAAAAGTACAGCAATCTCTTAGGCATGATGTATAGTCATTCGACTTAAGTTTTCTTCAATTTATTTCATGTCCTATTTTTCTTGCATATGTTTATGCCATAAATCTGCTGTCTTTACTAAAATCACCAAAAAATGTGATGAAACAAATAGTTTTAACAAGAAACGTAGAAGAAACTATTTCATTGATATTCAGAAAACCAATTATACTTTCTCCGAAAGTTAAAAAAAGAATTGGCCAGATAAATGTTAGCATACTTCTGTTTCTAGTCATATATTAAACTAAATTAATTTAAATTTTGAGTTAATTCAAATATAAATATCTGCAAAAACAGCTCCCAAATATATGAAAGAGATAGATCCATCCAATAAGACTAATACATTCAGCCAATTTTTAAATTTTTTTTTTTTTTTTAGAAAACATGTAAGTTTGGTTCGTATCTCCTTTTGTCACCATAATGCTGAGGTTTAATGTCCATTCATTTGAAAAACTGACATGACAGTAAATTATTTAATAATTAAAAATAGCGTGGTTTAGAAACAACTATGATATAATTACCTTAAATAAGTGTTTGTAGATAAGACACATAAAACATCACGAAAAGTCTGTGAATAGAATCAAATCAATGAAACTTTTCTAAGAAATTACACAGCATTTAAAACGCCCTCATCATGAACATAAACACACCCAGTAGGGAGAGTTTCTTAGAGGGGAAGGGGAAGCGAGCCTGCCCTGTGACATTACCGCCGTTTTCCACGCCGGGCTACCAGCAGGCTGGCGGAGCAGGCCTGGGTGCGGTTTCCCACCCCTCTCCTCGCCTTCCTCCTGACTCTTTCCAAGTGGTCCCTGGGGACCTGGATCGGGGTGAAAACTACAGAGATGCGGAGGAGGTGCCCTTCTCACTCATGAGTTACTCACATTCTGTGTGGCAACACAGGAATGAGAAACGCGGGAGCTGGAACCACAGAGAGAAGATAGCAACCGATTCTAAACACTGAAAACCGGCTTCACCAGCCGCCCGGTAGCGGGCGCGGGAGGGAGGTCTAGTCGAAGCGGGATTTCTCCCACAGCCATAACCCGTTCTTTTGTTGAGAATGGACACAAGGAGAACAGAATGGTGTTTTTTAAATAGCTACACACATTTCTCCTGTGTGTCTCAAAACGGATCGAGACTTCCTTGAAGGAGCTGTCCTTGCACTTCATTTCATAGCATCTGTAATGTGTTAATTCTTTAGTCCTTTGTGTGGCTATTTAATGTCCCCAAACCCATTGAATAGAACCTTAGGCTGTAGGTCCTAAGGCAGGGGCCTTTTCGTCTCACTGTTCCAAGATGTTTAGGTCTTTCTTGCCCCCTGGTGGGTAATTGATGTTTCTTTTGAGAGGATACATAAGAATACCTTTTCTAATGTGGCTTCCTAAAAAGTCATATAATACGAGATTAAAAAAAGATTTCAATAAAAAATTTGGGGGGAAGGGGAAGAGTTCAGTGTAAAAATAAGATGGGCAGAATTCTGAGCTGTTATCATTAATCTAGTATAAAGTTCTTATCTTGAACCCAAAGTGACAAAAAAATTTTAAATACCTTTTTTAAGATGAAATAAGTAATCACCATAACAAGTGGAAGTAATAATGTCTTTATGTATCTCAACGGAGTCTGAAATAAAACAAATTATTTAAGTCATTTATTAAATTTTACATTAAATGAGTCAAACAAAGTCCATGTCAAACTGAGTGTCACAAAGAAAATTCTTAAAGGCAGATCTTTGTCATTAACAGAATATATATATTTATCAACCTTCATGTTCTAATATAAGAATCAACATTAAAAAACCGTTACAGATTTACCAAAAGTTTTAAGGATAAAAATATTAAACTAAAAATTAGCTACGTCTATTAACTTTTCCTTGCTTTGGGGTTTATCCGTTCTTTATTTACATAATATTGAGTTTTATACTGTGTGTTTGCTGACCCGTGTGCCCTACATTATCATTTTCCGGGCTGCAAAGCTTCATCATTTTCATGCACCACACTGGAATTAACAGGGAGACGAGCTAGCCTAAGTACTTACTGAGTAGCAATGAGGACTGAGGCAGCATCAGCAGCTAACCAGTTTTCATGAGCTGTTACTGTGACGGGGAGGGAGCTACCAGGGGACCACCTGGAGGAAGGACCTGAGTCACATTCCTCTTTGTGGTCTTGCCACCAACTGCCTCATGGGTAACTGGTGGCCAGTGAGTTTTTGAATGACTGACCGACTGGGTAGATAAGAATAACATCTGATTAGTAGTGTCCCTTTGCTGGCAACATCTTGTTTAAAATTTGTGTAGTATTTGGGGTATTAAGTAAAATAAAACTGAATTTTTAAAAAACCTAAATAAGAATTTGGATTTACTTTTCCTGAGTGGTCCCATACCTCCAGCCGACCTGGATTATTACAAGTAATTGAACTGTCATAACAGTAAGTCGCAGTGGTCCGTGTGATGCATTAAGCACTCTCCCTGGATTATCTCAACCACATCAATAACCCTTCAAGACGGGAACCACTGTTGACTGCTTTTACATGTAAGAGAGCAGGCAAGGAAGGCCGTCTAACTAGCGAATGTTCCAGTAAAAAAATTGATAGGGTAAGTTGGATGTTTCTGAATAAAAAATTTTGAGTTTCAGATTCGAAAGAAAACTTAACAAAAAAAACATACCGCTTTTTCCATAAAGTCAAATTCAGGAGCACAGGTGTAAATTAAGGTATCGAAATCTGTATACCTTAAGATTCTTGCGGTTATGAGGTCACTCAGGCGAATCTGGAAGAAAATAAATTAAAATTACACAAATCATTATAGTCAAGAACCACTGATTTTATATCCTAGTAATAAAAATCTATAGAGCACATAAATCTGGTACATGGTGCCCCTCAAAGGAAAAAAAATACAGTGAACAATACAATACATGCTATATGCTGAACTATGAAAAAAACGAGAGAGAGAGAGAGAAATGTCAAGAGAAATGAAAAGTTGAAAGAGGTCAGGAAAAATAAGCAGAGATGATAACGTAAAGAGTGAGCTAAAATCAATATTTGCTGGGCAGAAACCACCATGCAGTTAATCATGAGATTTTATAATCACATCATCTAGCAAGAGAAAGACAATTTTGCGTTACGCTCTTGACCACACACTGTAAATCATGCAGATTTTCTGCGTGGTCATTTCCCCAAAGCCTCGAGCGACTGTTTCGGGGGCCCCAAGCTTCTGAGATGCGCGCTCAAGGCCGAGCGGAGTGCCGCCTTCGCCATCACGAGACGCCCCGCACTACTCTCACTTAGTCAGTTGCTCTCCAAGGCCTAAACAGACGCAGCGCAACTCCCAGCTTCTATGCTGTTCCTTACCCTCTGTTGGGGAGACAACTCTTCTCCCACTGCATCCTTAGGCCAAATAGAAAGGAAAACATTTGGTGTATAAAATCTTAATTCATAATATTTTACAGGGATAGAAATTGTTTCATATCAAGTTTATATGATTATCTGCGATTGTCTTTTATTCATGGTCCTGAGGATGACTAGTTTCCTTAATTTTCCTAATTTAGAGTAGGCCTGGTGACTAATGATAATTTAACCAAAACACTTTAGTTTCAAATCTTTCTCACTGCTGTCTCACTGAGGAAGTCACTTAAGAGTACCAAGAATGGGGGTGTGTGTGTGCGCGTGTGCACACGCAAGCACATATGTGTGTGAGATTTGTAAAGAGTTGGGTGACCACGCGGAGCAAAGCAAGAGAGAAAACTATAGACCAACTTCATGGATAAGTACGTAACTTAGGATATCTAAGTAAAGCTTATCATAAAATAGATACTCCCTACACAATAAAAAGTGAAGAATAAAAGGGGAAAGAGAGAAAATGTGTCAGACATACCAGAGAGCAGCAGCAACAATTAAACCTAATAAATCACTATGCAAAGCTCGCAATAAATAGCAAAGGAATCCTTACACTCTGAAATTGTATTTAATATGAACACATACGTGAGTTCAATTCTATTGGATGACAACAGCGGTTGACCTTTCAGAGAGTAAATACTATGTTCCCTTGTTAAAGCTGAAGCAATTTCAACATTAGACAGGGTCCTAACTGGATAGTACTAGATGTGGTAAATTTCAGAGTAGATTATTGTGTGATACATGCACGTATGCTCATATCCAAACAGAAAGTGCTAAAACTCGAAAGTAAACCCATGAATTGTTTTCTATTCCTTAAATTCATTAAGTAGGGACTTATGCTTTAAAAAGGGCCATTATTTAAGGAATTAGCCTTAAAACAGAAATGCCACACAAGGGGTCCATATATTTTCTAGAAGATAAAAAAAGAACCTTTATCATTTTCTATGTTAAAAATTCTTAAAAATATCAAATATCTTAAACTTAATCTGTAATTATAAATAAAACTATATTGATATTTTAAGAGTTCTATATTCCAAAGCTGAGTATAGACTGCTCATATGTTAACATCTGCAATAACTGTCTAAACAAATAATTATTTGTGCTTTAACTGAAATATAAACAAGTAACTACTTAACATATTATTATTTTCCTAGAAGGGTAAGTCAGCACTCACTGATATACTTTTTTCTTAGTAGGTTGAAAAGCTCATTGAATTTCAGGGTTATAGTATTTACTCTGCCAATAATTAGCTTGGAGCCCTTGAAGAAGGCACTTAACATATGTAAAATGAAGCAGTAAAAATAGGTGATTTCAAAGTTTTCATCCAGGTATACATATTTACAGAATTTTTTATATTTTAACTAGAAAGTACTTACATGGTCTGAAACGCCTAAGATTTTAGATGTCAGAAATTTCAAAATGATTGTTCCACATAACCAACCAAAACCTTGAATTAGCTAAAGAATAAAAAAAAAACAGAAGTCAGTTACTAAAAATTACCCAGTTAAAATACTCAATTATATCAAAAAATGGCATAGAAAAAAATTGACAAAAAGTTGTGCCACCACCTCTGGCCCCCATAGCTTCAGGTGAAAAGTCTGCTGTATTTCAAATCAGTTTCACCCTATAGGTAATGCATCATTTCTGACTGCTTTCAAAATTTTTTTGTTTAGTTTTCAAAAGTTTAATTATGATGTGTCTAGCCAGGGATTTTGTTGAGTTTATCCTACCTGGGATTCATTCAGTCTCCTGACTCTGTAGATTTAAGTATTTTACCAAATTTAAGAAGTTTTCAGCCACTACTTCTTTAAAAACTTTTTCAGTGCCTCTCTTTTTCCTCTCCTTATGGAACTTCAATGATACAACCAGATCTTTTGTTATTGTCCCACAGGACCCTAAGCCTCTATGATATTTTTTCCAGTCTATTTTTCCTTTGTTATTTAGATTGGGTGATTTCTTTGTATTGTACTATCTTCCTTATAGCATTGGACTGGATTTGGAGGTAGAGTTATGACATTATTTCATACATATAAATACACACATGTGAGTGTACATACAGATACATATAATGAAAGGTCTAGACGCAAGGACACACTGGTAGCAATGACAACACTCTGACTTGGTTTCTAAATACCATTCTATACTAAAAGGAACTAAGGGTCTTGGGAGAAATGGCTGATTCCAGAGTTGGGGCAAGGACAATATAAGAAGAGCCTGACACATCTTGTTGAGCCATAATGTAAGGAAGTACATAAAGAATTATGAATATAGATCAAATGGGGGAAAACCCACACTGGCCAACTCTGACATTGATATTTGTATCTGACATAACTTTTCCCATATATATAACAAATTACTCCAGCATTATTCATTGAAAAGCATCCTGCAAGGTAATCTTGTTATAACTGCTTTGAATCTAAGCATCAACTGAAGAGAAATGACATTATATAGTGTCTTCCTATGCATAAACATGGTATATTTTTTCCATTTATTTTGATATAGTCTTAACAATTTAAAAATATTTTCCCCAAATATTGTACATATTTTGTTAAGTTTATTCAGACACTGTGCTTTTTCTTCCTAATATACATGACAAATTTACAAAAATTTTTTCTTTGTTGCCAGAAAATAGAAATGTAATTGACTTTTGAATATTAATCATATCTAGCCATGTTATTGAATTCTTATATCTAATAACTTGAAAATTATTTCTCTTCCATGTAAATAATGATATTATGACTTCTGATTCTTCCTTTCTATTTCCTTCCCATTCCTGTTTACTTTCTTGCTTTAATGTGCTAGCTCAGACCTTTAATGAAAATGTGAAAAAAACACATTTATCTTGCTATTTTAAATGGAACACTCTAACTACCTCACCTATAAGATCAATGGATGTTGAAAAATTTTACTAGGTTAAGAAAACCCCCTGCTATTTCTACTGTGTTGAGTTTTTATCGTATATACATGGGTGTTCATCAGATTCGTGTTCTGCATCTAACAGAACGATGAGTGGTTTTTCCCTTTAATCTGTCTGTGTGATAATGCACACTTATGGATTTTCCAGAACCATATTTGCATTCCTGGGATGAGGCCAATTTTATCAGAATGAGGATACATAGTTATATATAGCTGTCCTTGAGTTACTAGTTTTTCTTCCAAGTTGCCACACAATGGTAAAGAATATTAAAAATAGATTCTGATCAGTCATAAGTGACAATTTTTCTGTGTATTTTTTACTGCTATTCAATATAAAAATAATAAAGAACTTCCTTGTTCTCAAATTTTTCAATTGTGGCAGAGTAAGATATGCAATATAATCTTTATTCCATTACCAGGAAAGAATTACTTGAGAAATAACAAAACAGGTAAGAAAAAGTGTTAGTTCACAAAATATCTTTGCTTTTCTTTTTTGACTGTCTTCTGTAAAATGAAAAAAGCTATGAAAATCCAGGACATCTTTTGCATTGTTTAAATGACTACCATGATGTTTCTCCCTTTTGCAAGACTGACAATTATCAATTATACAAGTTTCAAAATATAACATATGCTGAACATTCATTAAAGCTCAACTTTTTTCTCTTTAGAATTTGTTCCTTTGGAATTACTGAAATGAAAACAATGAGAAGCTGGCAATACATTCATTTTGTTCATTTTGTATTCTGAATAGAAATGTACTTATCTTATCATAGCTTTTCCAGTTTTACCCTATCAATATATAAGATGTATTCACATAGTTCTTCAATAATGTAGGTTTTATTTTTCAACAGAAGTAAAACAGAGGGGGAAAAAATGTCATCTGCTGATATTATGATAATTAGTCATTGTAGGGCCTAGGAAATAATATACTTACTTTACTTGGAAACAAAGCTTTACACAAACAAAGAGGTAACATGGGCCATCCATTTGCTTATCTGGGAGGAAGTCGAACAAAGATTAAGCAGTGTCTAAACTGAAATAAGAAGAGGCTGGGAGATTGTAGAGAAATGTCCAAAGGACAAAAATACTAGAGTCTAAAGTTGGAAGCAGAGGGAAAGATGGATGATGGACAGATGCAGAGAACAGAAAAGGGGAAAGTGGGAACAGAATTACAAACCTGGTTATTTTGAAGAAAAGGTTAGAGAGAGAAACTTAAGGCAAATAGAAAATTTAAAAGTAGGGTAGCCTGGTTGGGCGTGGCTTAAAGGTTGAGCATCTACCTAGGAGCCAGGAGATCAAGGTTTGATTCCCGGTCAGGGCACATGCTTGGGTTGTGGGCTCGTTCCCTAGTTGGGGGCGTGTAGGAGGCAGTCGATCAATGACTCTCTCATCATTGATGTTTCTCTCTCTCTCCCTCTCCCTTTCTCTCTCTGAAATCAATAAAGATATACTTTTTTTAAAAAAAAATAAGGTAGTAGGGATCTAGCTGAATGAAAGCAAAGGGAGAAAGGCTGAGGCAGTACAAGTTTCTTAAAGATGACTTCTTGATGTTGCTGAAGACTAAGATGTATTACCTCCAACCAGTCATTTTTAAGTATATCATCCTATTTGGTTTATGGAAATAAAGATTTTGAAGAAATTGTATTAAAAATGTTAAATCTCACCCAGAAGTTGAGTTCAGATACTCCCAATCTTTGAATATTACTTCTCTTTAGAATTATCACCTAAAATACATGTGATACAAAATGAAATAAAATTAACATTTATATTTTATATGAATTATATGTTTCAAAAATTACATGGCCACGCCCCCCTTCCATCTTGCCTATCACCAGCCATTTTCCTTCTTAATTGCTGATTTTTCAAAATTTGAACATGACAGAATTTCCTTGGGGTGAAAGCTAAATGCTTTGAACACTAAAAAGTTGCCCCTAGAATAAAGTTAATTCCTCACTGCACTACTTGGATGTGTTACACAGGCAACTCTTCTGATGAGGTAGATGGTGCGTGGATGGTGTGTCCATGCAAGTGTATATGCAGGTTATCCAGCAAAATTAGTGGTTTAGGTTAACCTGAAAATCCTTCCTCTCCAAACTCCCAAATAAAATATTTTAAAATGTTTTTTTAAAACCCTAACTTTTAAGGAAGAAAAGGAACTTTCCAGATGCCAGACAAAAGGTGATTTTAAAAACAAAAACAGTAGGAGAGACCCTATGGCAGTCTTTAAGGAGGACTGTAGAAGGAAGTTACAACTACAGGCTAGTACTGAAAAGGGAGGGAAGCAGAAGAGTACTTGGAACTATGAAAGGTAAGAAAATGAAATTGAGACTCATACATAGAGCCAGGGTCCTCAAAAACCACACCTTCAGTGCTATCAACAAAATGTTTATGTCCTCTACCAAATTCACGTGCTGAAACCCTAATCTCCAATGTGACATGCTGGAGGTAAAACCTTGGGGAGGTAATTAAATCCCTACTGAATGGAATTAGTACCCTTATAAGGGGAGACATGGAGAGAGATGGTGTCTCTCTCCACATGTGAGGATACAGTGAAGGCATCTGTTTACAAGACAAGAAGAGAGCCCTCACCAAGAACCAAAGTGACTGGCACCTTGGTCTTAGATTTCCCAGTCTCAAGAACTGTGAGAAATAAGCCACTTAGTCTATGGTATTTTTGTTGTGGAAGCACCTCTAGCTACCATTTCCAGGGCTTCATTTGTGCAGTGCCATACTGACATCTAATATTATATTCCATCTGAAGGGCCTCCTTTAACATTTCTTTTAGTGCAAATGCGGTCATGTAGCCTTTATTTTGCCTTCATTTTTTGAGCCATATGTTGCTAGGTATAGAATTGTAGATTGACAGTATTTTTTCTGTAAGCGTTTTAAAGAAATTTTGAGTATTTTAACTGTCTTATTCCTTGCATTTTTTTCTTATGAAAAATCTGACATCCTTACCCTTTGTTCTTCTACATTTAACATGTTTTATTTCTTTGGTTATTAATATTGTACCTTTATCACTGATTCTGAGCAACTTTATTATAATATGCCTTACTATATAGCATTGTTGTATTCGGGATTTACTGAAATTCTTTATCTCTGAGTTAATAATTTTCATCACATTAGAAAAATTTTGGCCATTATTTCTTCACATATTTTTCCACCTCCTCCTAACTCCATTCTTTTAGACAGCAGTTTACTTTTCCTGTATCAACTGTAAATGAGGGACTGGAATATTACTATTTTGCAATCCCCACTAAATAATGGATCTGGTACTAAGCATTGATGGCTGCTATCATGAAAAGAGAGGTACTGGATATTATGTATCTCCTGACAAAAGAAGAACACTATGCTAAATGGATCAAACCTTAAGCTGTCCAAGTGTTAGATTCAATTATTAATATACGATAAATATGGAAAACAAAGGAGGATATAAAGCTAAACCACGAGGATTCAGAGAGTGAAATCTACACCATATAATCCTCTAGTGTTCAATGGCCTAGGCTCTTCAACAAGTGCATTTCCTGGGGAACAAAACAGGCATATATATATGAAACCTGTGGACAAAAATAGAAACTTAAGTGATGAAACTATAGAGGAAAGCTAGGAGCAATTACCATAGTTATTAATGCTGTAGAGCAGTGCAAGGGAATTATAATTGGGGCAGAACAGCTGGAAAAGTTCCGATTTTGACTTGATGGTGATTTAAATATATTTGCCAAATAACAGTTCATTAATCAGTACTTATCAGTACTAGTTAGTACTGCCAGTACATAAAACACTTGTTTTATACAGTTTTCTGTATTTCAAAATAAAATAGCTTTCCGAAAAAGAGGTGAATGAGCATATAATTATAAGTCTTTTATCTTGTCATGTTGAATAAGTCTGACAGAATGCTGAACAAGTTTGACAGAATGCTGAAAAAGTTTGATAGAATGCTGAAAATGAAAAGCTGATGTTTTAGAGGAATGAGAAAAGGAAGGAATTACTTATTGTGAGGGAAAAAAGGTATGGGGAGCAAAAATGTTAAAACACAAGGTCAAATGAACAAGAGTCAGTCAATGCCCGTGCATGGAAACGCGCGCACTGTATTGGCACTACTGTGGTTGGGGTCATTTTTGGTAACTGTGAAAAGAGAACATGCGGGGAACATTCCCATGGAGGAGAACATTATAGGCTCTGGCTTAGGAATATCAGAAGTGTGACTCTAAAGTAATAAAGCTGATTTTCTGAACCACTGTTCCAAATACATATCCAAATGAATGCTATTCAGTGAAAGTAAGTCACATGAGGAGACTATAAACTTATTCTAACTGCATTACCATTGCTCGAAAACAGTTTGGAACTCTATTTTCTAAACTACCTTCAAAAATAATTTAGTTATAGGAGCAAGAAAATAGGTCTTATTACTTTAATGTCACACCATATTTTGATCAAGATCTATATGTTCCCCAGCCCAATCACCCACCTTATCACAAGACTTTGGTCCTTTCCAAAAATCAAATCCACCCTTGAAAGACGAAGTTTTGCCACCATTGAGGATATTCAAAAGAATGTGCCACAGTCTGTGAAGGCAATTCAGAGGAGTTCCAAACTGTTCTGAGCAATGGCAGGGGCACTGCAGTAAGTAGTGGGCCTCCTGGAGTGACTTGGGAGGAAATAACTAACTTTGATCATAAATTATGGCATATTTTAAAAGTCAGTCTTACTATCTTCTAGTTGTTTTTTAAAAGATTTCCTTGGGCATTGCCTTAAAATGGTAAACTGTGTACCATGTTATTTTCCAAGGATGAGAGAGAGAGAGTAGGTGTTATTTGGGGAACACTTTTTCGTATTAGTAATAATTGGGAAAGGATCCTGTTTATACTCCTAAACCTATGTCGGGTGGGTTACACCTCCTATTTCACAGGTTAAAAAAAACAGAACAACTTCATGAGCTTAACATATACTTACCCATGTCATTAACAAAGATGAAGAATAATAAGAAGATAAATACATCGGATTTCCAAACATTAATACAAAACAAAGGAGAACTGAAACCTGAAAAGGGAAGAAAAGAAACACGTTTCATCATTATGATACGTAGCATAATGCACACTTGGTCTACAGGCATATAGCCTTTCTAATATAAACTTCATATGCATAAATAAGACTAATAGATCTTGGCCAAATGATAATAGAATTGCAATGCACTGATAGGTCCTATGTATCTTCAACACTATAAATTCATTATAGAAATATTTAATTTTTTTCTCTATCTGCTACTTGGTACAAAGAAAATGGGAAAAACTATTACGTCTGTTGATTTAATAATGGAGTAATATAATAAAAATTTCTTTCACTAAGGAAGTTTACTTTATGTTCTTAGAAGATATTTTTATGTCCTTAGGGGAGATGTGTTTGGAAACTTAAGATAAAAACAAAAATTCTAGGTGGGGCAGGAGCCAGGTGGAGGGGGCAAAGGGGAGGAAGTGGGGGACACCTATAGTACTCTCAACAATAAAATAAATTTTTAAAAACATGAACACACAAAATTTACAGAGTAAGTTCATTTCAGGTCTCAGGGAAAAGGCAGTTTCAAAGGTAGTGACTAATAAAAAATAAAGCATAAAAATAAGAGTTTCAGAGAGTAAAACCACCTCCACTATAGTTGAAAGTACGCTATAATATGGTCTCTATAAGGTACACTTCCCATTTTCCTTCTGGATGTTATCAAAATCATATGTATTAAATGCAACTTGAAAGATGGTAGCCCTGAGATCTTATTTTAATCTTGACTTATAAATATGAAAACGTTACCATATTCATATAAATGATCTTCTTAAATTTGTTTGGCTCAATATACCCCACAACATACATGGGAAATAATGAGGCTATCTGAAAGAAAAATGTTAAAAAAGCAGAAGTGAAAAATATGTAAAAAACAAATACTTTACTACTCATAAGTGAAGTAAATGTAACAGAGAGTTATATTTCTATGATACCTAAGTAATTTAACCAACCTTCTCCCTGGGAACTAGAATAGCTAAGGAAAATACCTACAAAAGACACAGATTACTAACAAGACAAAAATAAAATAAAGAAAAAATTAGGAACCTAAGAGCAGAGAAAGGGTGGAAATCTGCAGTGATGAGCATGGCACTGTGGGTCACCTTTCTCTCAGAGACACCTGCCGGCGAGAGGCTGCGGGGGACTTAGCGGGGGCACCGGGAAGGACACGGGCGGTGGCCCCAGGCTCCGGCAGGGGGGTCCCCAGGCTCCGGCAGGGGCGCCCCGCGGTCCCCCGCCTCTGAACTACCTCGGGCTCTATCAGGCACAGATACAGTCACACCCTAAAACCTGTACAGAAACAACCCAGTGCACTTGCACTCGACTCAGATGAGTTTACAATCATCTCACCTGCGTGAAAAGTATGAACTGAGCGAACTGCCAGGGGAGCATGAAGGCGACGTTGGAGAGGCAGAGCGCGACGAAGTGCCTCCCACTGCCGTGAGACGTCCTGGGGGAGAAGCGACAGCAGTGAGTTCCCAAGGTCGCCTATCACAACGCAAAGGCCAAGGGCACAGCGCCCTCGCCTACCGGTTCCCTCGTCTTCCATGCAAGACAACAGAGTGCAGCTCACTTGTAAAAGCTCACTGGAAAGAACCTAAAATACTGCTTGCTTATTAAAACGTCAGGTAGTTATCAGAAACTCAGTATTTTAGAATATTTTCTTAACCGGATATTCAATTTATTTTGAAAGTTACTAAAAAACCAGCACCTACATTTGAATGATAACAGGCTGGAGTGTATTTTAAGATCGTCACTTATTATTTAGGTCTGCTGTATAATGGAAATCACCTGAGGATCAGAGTCAACACGAACATCTGCAGCACGAGGAACGGGTACGAGAAGCTCTCCCGGAGCGGAGGTGTCCACATCACGCGCGTGGCCTGAAACCAGAAAACGCTCGCTTCACTTTGCGCCCCTGCAACGAACACTGTTAACCTCACAGTCATCGCTTCTAACAGCAGGCTCCTTCACTCCCGGGCGCCTGGCACAGCTCTGTGGGCTTTGGAGCTCTAAAGGACACGCGGCCGTGAGGCGAGGACCGTCCCCAGCGAGCGCAGTCAGGGGAAAGCTCAGCAGGCCACGCAGGAAACGCGAAGGGCAGGCAGGGGGAGGCACAGGGGAGGTAAAGGCCCAGGGCCGAGGGCCGAGGGACTGCCCCACCCCCGGCGCTGCAGGGAGGGCCCCGCAGTCCCAGGGCCTGGGGATGCACACGCACACGCCCGGGAAAATACACAAACAGATGTCCCCGGGCAACTCACAAACATTAAGGGAGCTTACACATAACGAGTTTAATAAATATACACACAGTACAAATAATTAAGACTATCTTTGAATTTGTGAAATATACCTTTAAAAAGTTAACTAAGTTTCTAAAAGTAATGTAGTATTTGGGAATCACTAATGTGATGCATACAATAAAAGTGTTAATTACATTTAAATAAACTGTAAAACTGTTTTAAGATATATGGGTGAGAATATTATAAAAGTTTTCTATCAAGAATTCTAAAATTCTAGAAAGCACCTAACCTTGTAGGAGTTACTGCTCCTCTTCCAAGAAACCAAAATTCTTAAACTTGCAAGAACTTGGTTTTGTGGCACATATGAGAGTCAACTCACAATGCTGGTCGTCTGGCACTCAAAGAAAACATCTCTTCACATGATCACACTGGTGAGGGACGATGCATTTGTTTGCTTTAAGTTTATATATCTAAGATATTTATGTATAATACTTTTGACTCCCTTGTCTAGCAGATTGTTTAAATTAACCAAGTATCTTTCCCAGGGGTGATGAATAAAGGCTGTACCATGTATAAGCTGGGCCCTAACATATCACATATTGTGCATCTGGAAACTAGCTGCCGGGTCCCCTCCCTTCACTCCACAGCCTCGGCATCCAACACAGCACCTGGCACATTGTTATGTACGCAGCACTCTGCGGGATGAATTTATCCTGTTCTAAGTTTCTAGGAACTCTTTTTAGGTTGCCCATGACCTGCTGGGCTGAATTAGCTGGTTGGTCTCTATTCTGATTTAGTGTTTTGTGCTCCTGAAAAGGCAGCATCGTGCAATAGAAGAAATGAGGCTTTGGAGCAGACAGATGTGAACGGGAGACCCGGCTTCATCATGCAGTGAATGTGAAATCTTGGGTGAGGAACTTAACCTCCCTAACTTTCAGTTTCTTATCTCCTGTGAGGATAACTATCATCTCCCAGAAAAGTTTGGTAGGAGTGAGATAATGTATACAAAGTGCCTAAACTTAACAAGCACAGTATTTCCTTTTTCTACAAAATATATGTGTATGAACACATACACTAAAAACCAGGCCAGAAATTTCATGTCATAAATTCTAATTATTATGTAAAACTGTGGATCAAAAGGATTAAATATCAACTTACAACACAAGGTTCTTTAAAATACTGCGAAGTCCTAAGTAATACGCAATTATATATTGTTTTGATGAATATATTTTTTTGTTCCTATATAGTCCCTTCTATTTCTTAAAAATTATTTTCTAGAAAACAAACCTCTCCATGGTTGAAAAAGTAGCATAATACTGTAATTAGACCTCCAAGTTGAGTCCCACTGTAAAAAAAGTATACAATCATAATTCATGCAAAATTTAGTGAATTTTTTCACAAAATTATCTTAGAATTTACAATCATATTTAAAATGTCATAGTACTAAGCCATATAAAATAAGAAAAATCTCAAAAGTACCTATGTTGTGGGTGTTTTAATCTTGAATGTACAAGCATATAAAATGTACATACAAAATAATCTGAATTTTATAATATACTTATTTTCTAAATAAAACATATAAGATGCAAACATAAGATAATATTTAACGAACAGGCCACACTTCAGTCTCTAGCGCATTATTTGAATATTCAGAATGGAGGCAGACTTTGTCTTTTGACTGAGGGATGAAAACAAGAGTCTGACAGCTTCATTTAGCAGTAACTTTAACTGTCTACACCACTGGGAATATTCCCGAGTCCCAAAGAAACAACAGCGTAGGACACAAAAATCTGGTCAAGGATAACCATCCGAGGTTAAGAACCATTTCCTAAAGCAGCCTTTTCTTTGGATGTTGTTCATCCCTTACATCCACTGCGCCACACTTGGAAGACAATAAATGTTGACATAATGACTGAAAAGGGAAGAAGTAGTTTCCAAAAAAAACAGAAACAAAAAACAGAGGAAAGCAAATGGGAAGTGACTGGCCATTAATAAGTTTTTACTAAAGGAAATTCAAAGGATGCACTTAGGAAAGTAAGAAATTGAGAGAAGGAATGTCTAAGAAGGGCAATACTACACTAGAAACTAGCAACACGTGGATAACACTAAGATTCGACAACATACACAATAGAACACAAAACCCAATAAATCCCGCAGAGGGGCAATGGGAGCGCTAAACTATGGTAAGATAGAAGATGCAAGGGGATGCTGTGAAGCCAAGTGCTTTAACATTTCTTGTACCGATCAGATCAGGAAAGATATCAATTAATTTTAGACTTGATGAAGTTAGATATGCATGTTAACATTTGTCCTTAGCCACCAAAAGAACAGAAATGGAGGATCTGGATTCCAAGTTGGTGCCAGTGGAATCACAAAATAAGAAACATAAAATATCCCCACAAATCCCGTTTCTGTTGTTTCTCACATGCCATTCACTATCCTCACAATCTGAGTGAACTTTTATAGCCAACGTTTGTTCTATCTACATATCCTTCTTAAAGACTGAAGCTTCGGTTCATATTCCAGAACTATGTAACCAATTTAGAGAAGATGATAATTCTTGGGTTGCTCAGCAATGAAAAATATTAATTTTAAAAGGCTTTAGTCTTATGTAACATTTTCCAGGTTTAAAAAAGCCTAAGACATACAAACTACTCTCTGAAATAGAACATCTTTAAGCCTAACACCATAATCTAAAGGTAATCCTTTCCCTAAAAAAAACTGTGATGAGCTTAACTATTTTTCCTATACGGCATATATACAGAAAAGTACATAAAACTTCTAGACAGTTTATGGGATAATTATAAAGCAAACATCCTTGTGACCACCACATCATTGAGACAGAAAACTGATTGCACCCGAGTCTCCACTCATCACCCCTTGAGACGGCCACTACCCTGATTTTTGCAATTATCAATTTAGCCACTTGTACATCCATGTCATACTATCATTCACTTTAATCTGTTTTTAAACTTGATACAAATGGAAGTAGGCGGGATTTCTTTTTATTTTGTGCCTGCCTTCATTCATTCATTTGAAGACTTGCCCGCGCTGATGTGTGTAGCCGCAGCTCCGCGTTCACTGTTCTACAGCATTCCGCTACATTAATGAACTACTGTGCGTACAGTTCTCTGATGGACATCTGAATTGTTTCCAGTTTGGAGCTATTACCAACAATGCTGCTATATTCTTGTACATACTATTTCCTGGTGCGCATGTGCCAAGGTTTCTTAGACATACACACTTTAAACAGGAGTTGCTGAGTTATAAGGTATCTGCATCTTCAACTTTACTAGATAATGCATGCTGTTTTTCCAAAATAGTTACACAAATATGTCCACGTGCTATGGGTAAGAGTCCCTTTTACAATCCAGTGGATGTGAAATAGTATTTCATTGTGGTTTAAATTTTTATTTTCCTGACAACTAATGATGTTGGTCAACTTTACATATGCTTACTGGCTTCTGGACAACAGTAGGCTGCTAGTGAAGTTTTGGAGGGGTTAAAAGTTAAATATGGATTTTCAACTGGGGGGGGGCAGTTGGCACCTCTAACCCCTGCACTGTTCAAGGGTCAACTATACATGACTGTCACAGTTAACTGCAACCTATCACCTGAGATTGAACACACTGCCACCCCAAACTACGTTGTAGTATAGCATTGTTATCAAGAAAGACAGGCTATCGGCTGTGTGTCTGCTACAAGAGATAAACATTATATTTCTTTTTTTAATATTACATGTACAGAGACTAAAATTAGAAATTATCTGCTACTCATGCCAACCCAAGATCCCCTCTGTTATAATAATGTTACACATGACTCAGGTATTTTCATTAAAATTTTGGTTAAGGAATCGTAACTAAAAAAAGTTCCCCACAAGGGAAAAAGGAAGGCCCTTATGATATTAGTTTAGTGACAGCTCTAGTTCCAGGTTGCACGATATGGGATAAGTTTCTGAAAAAAATAAATCTACAAATGTTCCTACTACTAGTCAATTAATCTCACTAATTATCCTTTTTATATAATCAACAAATGGCAGCCAGTCCTTATGAGCCCACTAAAGGATCTTTCAATACAGTAGCAGTCTTACCTCAGATACGCACCATATACGAAGAACATTGCCATCATTACTCCATTTAAAATAAAAATCACACCGACATAAAAGCAGGCAGGGTCTCCCACTCCTTTAAAAAGACACAGATTATTCAGTATTTCATGAATAAATGACTCTAAAGTAATTGGACATAATAACTGCAGTGCTTTGTAATCAAGAGCTCAAGAGTTTGCCGAAAGCATTAGTACTTTCCTCTTACATGAGGTATTACTAGTTACATTCAAACTTTATACTTTATTGTGGCTACATTTATACTTTCCCCCAATTAAGTATCATTATACTGTAATAATTATTTGGTTCTTCGCTCTATCTAGGAGATGCTGCTATTGTTCAGTATCTAGAACTGTCTGTAGAGTCACTGGAATTACGAGAGAAGCTCCATGGCGTTATCCTGAGCTCTGTTCTAGGACGAGTAAGACATGGGTGCTGCCCCTGGCAAAGCTTTAGTCTGTGAGATAACCCAGTTATCTGATCCATTATTACGTAGAGCCAGAACCTTAAACCTTAACACAGAATAACTCCCATGCACGAGACTAGACAGACATGCATAAAATATATTAACAGTCACATGGTCGACTAGGCGCTTTACAATCTTCATGTCATAATCCTATTAGTTGTTACGAAAATAATTTTTTAATGGTTGAGAAAACAGAGCATAGAAAATTTAAATAACTTGTCAAGTGTTATTTAGTTAGAAAAGTTTTCGATGGCGCGGAGACCTGAAGGCGCTGACCTAATGCCTCTTCTGCTCCGACTGTCCCTCTGCAGCCTGTCCTAATACCTTCTTTCTCTTCCTCTGCACACCCCCTGGGTGCTGGACCACCCCAGGCTCTGTCGCACACTCTCCTCCTCAGTCTCTATAGTGTCCTTCAGGAAAGCTTCCACTTCCGTGGCTCCAACTGTCACCTACATACAGTGACTTCAAGCCTCCCTCCAGCGACCGCTTCCCTCTTGCTGCCTGACCTCTCCACGCTGAGCAACTCGAACCTGCTACCTTAATAATGCTTTACACCATTCAAAAGGACCCAATTACTTAAGTTGGAAACAAAACAGTTCCACGACTTCCCTGTCCTTTCCCTCTCCCATCAACCGGTTACCACACATTGTCAATCCAGCTTCCAAATCTCTCAGACCCACGCCCTTCCCAGTCACCCTTCCCGCCACCGCCTGCTGGGAGCACGGCTGTCCCCTGCGGCCTCACTGACCCACTTGGATCCTTTCCTGTCTTTTCCGTGGAACTGCCAAAGTGACGTTTTTAAAATGCAAATCCGTTAAAATTCTTCAATGAGTCAAGGACAAAAGCTGTAACCAGTCACTGCCCTGCATTCCCTGGCCCTGGCTTCCAGGCCCGGCGCTCCCGCTGGCTCGCTCGCGCTCTCGCTCTCTCTCTCTCCCTCTCTCGCTCACTCGATCGGCTCCAGGGGTCCCCTTGCTCCAGTTCTGTTGCCTCAGGAATCCTGAATAAGCTGGTCCCTGCTTCTGAAACGCTTCCTTCCCTTACTCCTATTGAGCAAACGCATTTTCTCTCTGGGCTCACCCAGCAGTTACAACTTCTAGCACCTCTTCTAAATGTTTACTGGTGCACCCGGGGGTCCGAAGGGCTAACACTAACCTATCACTTAGTGGCAACTGAATAAATAACATAAATGCACAGACTCAAGGCGATTTCTCCATCTCTCACAAAAGGCCATCCTTTCTAAGCTGCTTTAGTCTTTACAGAGTCTCTCATTTTAGGAGGCATTTTCTCCATTCCTTTATTTTACATAAGAAAAGCCCAATTATGTCTCAAGTATCCTCTACCAGTGCTAGTTTAGATGTTACAAAGATCACCTGAGGGACTCAGTATGAATGTAAGGGAAGTTTAGTATACAGATTTAGTATATATTCTGAGAGTTGAATGTTATTGCGAACAAGTCTATAAAAATATATTTATAAAATATACTCAGTGTCATGCTGTGGAGAATATGAATAAAGAGAAAAACAACCATGTAAATGCTATGCAAGTAGATACATGTGACTTCGCTTGTCAGTTTCAAGGCTCGCATCCTGCGCAAACTGTGACAACGCGAAACCACACACATCTTAAATGGCAGCAGCAATGACAGGACCTGGAAAGCCATTAGCTGATTCCAAGAGTGGCTCTTCGGCAAAGATACCACTGTAGAAAGTGTACATGAAGAGAGAAGTATTTCTAAATCAATCTACTAGTGTATATCTGATTTTTATGTTTCCATAACTAAACTTTTACGTTAACTAGTATGGGTAAATGTTTGTTTAATCTACATCCCCACATTTATATATTCAAGCTCCCCTAAAATGGTTTTGTATCTTGTTCTGAAATGGAAGGAATGACTTAGTCAGGATTGCCTTACATTGGGGTATATTAATACTCATGTTAGTAAGTACACAGCTTTCTCAGAAAATTACTTTAAAGAGAAATACTCTTTTGGGTGAATGAGTTATAGTGTTTTTAAAAAATCAATCAATGGTTTACGATAATTCTTGAAATAAGCCATAACAGTATAAGGTGATTATGTAAACGTTAATGACAACTAGCAGCATTTTGGGGGGGGGGGAACATGCCTTCACAGCTTTGAATTTCATTTAGAGGTTCTACTCTGGTGACATTCCAGCAGGTCTTAGTTTCTAGCCCAAATAAATTCATGAATCCCACAAATGTGCGATAGAAGAAGGCCAGAATCACCTACAAAAGATGAAAAACAAAGATAGTGAAGAAAAATACACTATCTTCATAACAACTTTTTCAAAATACCACTTCATGATGGTTGCCTTTGACATTATAAACTTTCACAACTTTATTTAAATCATTTCACTTGGGAAACAGTCATTTTAAAATTACACACACACATTATAAACTAAAGTTGTATATTACTGCGTAATGAATATAAAAATTTTTGTTGTGATCAACATCTCTAATATATCTTGTAATCAATTCTAATATAAGTAATAGTAACTGTAAAATCAAGTATAAAATTATGTATTAAAACATGATGATGATTAATAGCAAAATACAAAGATTTATAGAAATATTTCATAACATGTTATTTAGGTCCTTGATTTTTTTCATAGTCTAAAAAATATTTAACCAACCTCATATAGCATAGCTCCTGTGCCCATTAAAACTCTACCCAAGCAGATGTAATATAACCAATCTTTCCGACCTATAACCCACTTTTAAAGTTTAAAGACAAAGGAAAAGAACAGCAACGATATGTCATAAACTGGGAGATTTTAAAAAATTATTTTATGTATTTGGGGAAAAGCTTGCAAGACAAATTTAAAAAGTAAAAAGATAAGTAAACAAAGAGTTCAAAGTAAAAGTAAAAACCATCCAGCGCTAACTATTTTAAAAGGCCAGGGAGCGTCCCTCCAGTCTCTCCCTAGGATATGACAACACATAGCCAGGGTCTTTCAGTATTACATAATATTATTACTACCAATATAACATACATCACTAACAAACATCATAAACATCTTTCCATGTTAAAAAAGTATAGACTTACTACTTTATAACAGGTTTATAAAACTGACCTTCTGTTAACATTTATAATTTTTGTTCTCGTGTATTTATCATACATGTAGAAAACATTACCACACTAAATTATGTGATGAATCTAAAACTATACTCCTTTCTGGGATGCAGCTTGATACAGCAAAAAACCATGCCTTTGAAGTAAAAATTTCTCAGATTCTCACTCTACAAGTTACAATTTCTATGGCCTGAAGTAATACTTCAGCCTCTGAGACTCAGCCATCTCATCTCTAAAATGCTCACATGTCCAGGTTTCAGTTTAAAATCACTCATCACATTAAAACCCAGGAAGGTCTCAAACTTCATGAAAAAAAATCAACAGATTCCAACGAGATGAGAAAAATATTAGAATTATTGCTCCAACAAGCAATTATGACCATGTTTAAAACAAATGGAAACATAGGAAGTCTTAGGAAAAAATGAAAGTCTTAGCAAAGAAACAGAACATATAAGGATGGAAATAAATGAAAACTTCAGAACTGGAAAATACAATAACCAAAATAAAAACTCAGCGGAGGCTCAACAGCAGAATGAAGGGAACTGAGTGAAATAATCAGTGAACTGGCGAAGAGGACAACAGAAATTACTCAATTTCAGCAACCGAGAGAAGAGACTAAAAAAAAATCATAACGGATCCCTAGGGACCCCTGGGACCATAACAAAAGACTTAATGCTTGTGTCATTGGAGGGGAGGGGGGAGGGGAGGGGAAACTGAAGGTAAACAAACCAAAACCAGGACAATACCAAAGAGATCCACACCAAGCGCATCAATTACACTTTTGAAAACTTTTAAATATCATACTTTTGAACACTCGTGGGAAAATTTTAAAAAGATAAAATATTGAAAGCAACAAGGAAGAGAAAAAAAAATCTTACCTTAAAAAAGGAAAACAATTCAAAAGGTAGATTTCTCATCAGAAATCATGCAGAGACAGGATAAAGTGACACATTTGTCAAATGCTGAAAGGAAAGCTGTCAATGCAGAATCCTATATCCAGCAAAAATAGCCTTCAAGAATTAAAGGGAACTGAATATGAAAAATGAAGAAAAACTAAGAAAACATGTTGTCAGCAGATCTATCCTAAAAGAATGACTAAAGAAAATCCTCTAAACGGAAATGAAATGATGAAAGAAGGCATCTTTGAACATCAGGAAGAAGTAATTTTTTAAAACAGGTAAAACAAAATACTTTTCTTCTCCTCTTGAGTTTTAAAAAATAAGTATGGTGGCTAAAGCAAACATCTGATGTAGTTTTAAATGGATGTAGAGGAAATATTTAAGATGATTATATTATAAAGGAGTAAGGGTAAAAGATATAAAGGAAGGTAAGGCTTCTGTGCCTCATTAGAACTAGTAGAATTGTAATAGAAGACTGTAATAAATCATGTATAAAATATAATAGCTACAACCACCACTAAAAAGCTATATAAAGCAATATATTCAAAAACTATAGATAAATCAAAATAGGATACTAAAAATGTACAAACAGCTCACAGGAAAACAGAAAAAAGAAAACAGGAAAATGAAAAAACAAGAACAAAGAGAAAACAAAATCTACCAGACTTAAGCCCAAACATACTAATTATATTAAATGTAAGTGGTAGAATGCACCAATTAAAAGAGATTGACAGGTGCTAGGTCAATATTCAAAATCAACTATAACTTCTATACAAAAGCAACAAAAATGGGAAAATAAAATTTAAAAATAATACCACTTACAACAGTAAAAATAGTGCTTACAGAAGACTGTATGCTGAAAAATACAAAATACTGCTGAGACAAAAATGATTAATAAAATGAAGATCTATACTATTATCATGGGTTGGAGAGCTTAATATTAAGATGTCAATTCTTCCCAAATATGTGTATAAATCCAATGCAATCACAAAAATCTCAATAAGATTTCTGTACTAACGACTAACGTTTATACAGAAACGTAATTTTGAGAAGGAACAACAAAGTTGAAGAACTACGTTATTTTAAGATTTACTCTAAAGTTATAGTCATTAAAGCAGTGTGGTATTGGCATAAATATAGACACCCAGAACAACAGAATCATAGAGAATCCAGAAGCAGATCCATGCATAACACAGGCAGTCAATTTTCAACACATGCGCCAAGACGATTCAATGGAAAAGACAGTTACCATGAAGAAGCACATGGGAACTTTTTGGCATTATTTTCAATGTTTTATTCTCAGTTGTGGTTTGGGCACACAGTTTTATGCTTTTGTCAAGTGTATAACTCAAAGAACTGTATACTCAAACTAGTATGTTTTATTGCATGTAAGTTATACCTCAACAGAGCTAAGTAAAGAGAAAGCAGCCAGAGTGAGGGAACATATGTCAGCATGTATTACTAAGGATTCTGCTATAAAATATTATCAACTATGCCAACAAATAAATAAGAAAACAGCCATCAAATAGGTGACAAATATTTACACAGGTTATTGAAAGAAGAATAGATCCAAATGGCTATTACACGTGAGGGTCTTCTTAACTCCCCAAAGCATAAGGGAAGTACAAATGAAAACAGATGCAGGAGGGCAACTTCTGATCCTCTGCTCAACTGTAAGGACACATACCATCAATAAACCCAAAGGTCCCCTCCTTTGTATTACACCATTGCGCTTACTTAGTCTTTTTATCTAATTCAAAAGCAGCCCTCTAGTTTCACTCACCTCCGGATACAGGTGGAAGCGTTTCACGGTATTGATTACAAGGGGATATTCGGTGAGCCTGTCGTTCATAATCGTCCACAGTCCTTCCAAGAACGAAGGTGCTTCAATAATGGTCTTGAAGTAGGAATAATAAAGTCCCTTAAAAGGCACAAACGGTCCATGTAGGTAAAATGTGAAAATACCCATTTTTATAAGTGCTTTCAGCCCTTCGCCCGCAGGGAAGGGTGCGCAGTCGGCCCCCTGGTTTCCCCGGCCGCTCCTGGCCGCGGAGGCACCCGCCGCGGCTGTCACTGCGCTACTCTCGTAAGTTCGGCAGCTCTGAAAAAGCCCTGCACGCTTGGTGGCTACATGCTGCAAGGGGCTTTTCTAACCACACCCTAAAGGGGGTAATCAGTATATTTTCAACTCTGCCATGCCTAATTTCAGCCCCCTCTAGATGCCTAGAGGTTGCGATCCGATGAATCGGCATTAACAGAGATCCTTCACATCCTTTATAACTTTGCATACAGAAAATTACTTTTTTCAGTTCTTTATGAAATAACATAATGATCATAATCATGAGACGGAACTTCATGCTTTCGACTTACTTCCCACAGTTCAGCACGAAGTGAACGCTAACCACATGTCAACTGACTGTTGCTCACGACACAAATGCTGGGTCCTAAGAAGGGGATGAGCTTAGTGCATGGTTCCAGCACATGAAATAACCACTTTATTAGACTAATAAAAAGTCAAGGATGAACAGCAGCATGTTGGTTCATATTACTTCCCTCATCAATTTCCTTCCTAATTTCTCAAAGCAAATAAAGGGCCACATTGTTTGCAATACTCTCCCCAAAAACCTGGAAAACAATCTTCAACTCGACCCTCACTGAGCCTCATACAACCACTTTATCTCGGAGAGATTCAGCAACAGCAGTGGCTGCTCAGCCGAAGGTGTGTTTAGCTGAACGGTGTCTGAAAGAGATGTCGTAGTTGGTGCTGGGAAAACGAATTCATTTAAGGATTTTTTTCTTTCTGCTTATGAGGGCAGCAGGCAATCTGACACTGACAGGATGTGTAACAGGCATAAGGCAATATTTAGAGAAAGAGAAAATATATCATACGCTTTTATTAATAGCAGCCATTGTTTCTGTTCATTATCTCCCTTTTCAGTAAAACCCTCTAAGGCTGTCATTGTTCCTAGTTCACAGGCGGATCACTGAGACGTCATCACTCAGGGATACACAGAGTTTCCGTCTGAACCCAGTGGCCGCCGGTCATCCAAGCCCACTCTGCCACAGCTAATGCTCCTTATTTAATATTTTTGTCCTTTCTTTGAAAATTGAGGGAGGGAAGGGGGTGGGAGGAGGTGGAAGAGGGCAGAGAGGGGATAAATGGTGATGGAAAAAATAAAAATAAAAGCTCCCCTCCCCCCAAAGAGTATAATACCTATAAAATATCAAAAATGCGAATGCCATACAGATGCTAGAGTAGCCAACTCTTCAAAGCTTTCAGGGGGCTATAAGGGCGAGTGTAAAAAGCACTGGCTGAGGGACCTAGAATAGGCAAATTCAGAGGGACGGGAAGTAGAAGGTCAGTGACCAGGGGCTGGGGAAGGGAAGGGACAGTTAAGTATTTAACGGGTACAGTTTCTCTTTGCAAGAAAAACTTCTGGAGATGGGTGGTGGTGACGGTTGCACAACATAAATGTATGTAATGCCACAGGACTGTACACATAAAAATAGCTGAAATGGTAATTTTTGCTATTTAAAAAGTTTTAACATAGTTTTAATTTTGATTGAGCCACAATTAAAAATAAAACAAAACAAAACAAGCAGAGGCTATGGAACGGGGAGGCCCGTCTGAGCTCTTTGCTGCGCCCCGGCTCTCAGCTGTAAACTTCTGCAATGCTGGCTTTCGCTACCCCATCTCATCCTCACAGTAACAGCATGAAATATGCATGGCAGGTGGTGTGATCTCCATTTTACAGATCAGGTGTCAAAATAAGAAAAATTGGTAAAGAGATTACAAAGTAACCTCTTAACAGAGGTTATCTTGAAGGCAAGAGCTAAAAAAAAAAAGCCAGGAAAAACACAGATGGGGTCTCCCACCTCTAACCCAACAGCGAGCCATTTCTGGTAACACCTGATACCATTTCACGTCTTAAATGCTGTCCTGTCCTACCCTTCCGCAGCTGTCGCGATCGACCTTTATCATCTTAGAGTCTAAGTCTGCACCAGGAGAGGAGAAAACGAGGTAAGTGAAAGGACCCAAAGCCACTTCCTACTTGAGCCATGACCCCAAGTCACTGCTGGAGAAACAGTGCTGTTCATCAAAAATGCTTCTCAGTTCCTCACAAATGTCCACCTTACAGCCTTGATATTATTCAACTACAAATTAATTCATTAGAAAAAAGGACCTAACCATTTCAGTGCGAAAAGTCATCTCCCGTTCCAAAGATGAGAGGTGAGAAAAGTGACGATCGTTTTCAAAGAGTGTTACTAAATGTATCCTGGGAAGAAAAAAAGAACATATTAGAAGAACGAGGTCTTTTCAAACAAGTCCTAAAATAACCAAGTTATAGATAAAGTACAAAACCATGAAGATGAAAATGAAGACATTCTTATAGTAAACAGTGAGGTAACTTTAGAGCTAGCTCACCAGCTTGCATGTTTTTAGCATTTATCCTCTAGTGCTGCCCCCCGCTGGGCGCCTCCACTCCAGGCCTCTCCATCAGAACAGAGGGAAGGCTTGGCTTGTCATGTCACAAGCGCCTCTAATGCACCAGGTTTGGGATATGCCTCTGTAACTGCTGCAAAGCATTCGGGATATCATTTTAAATAAAACTACTTTATACTGAAGCAGTTATAAATAAGGGTAATTCCATACAAAGAATCAGTTTCAAGTGTCAGAGAACCCAGGACTGTGGTCAAGATGTTTTATTGGTGCAACTGAAAGCAATAGCTGTAGGCAGCAGAGATGAAAGCATATGTGATGCACAAAATGAGTTACAGGGAGCAACTGTGCTTTCCTTCCTTTACACAGCAGACTCTTTCCAGTGAGTAGAAAATAAAAATTCCCTACATCACCCCTAAAACTTTATCTCTAAGCTTATGTCAACTAACATACCATTACTGTAAAATAAGGGAGTTTAGATGAAATAAACATGCAGAGTACACTAGAAAATCTAACTAAAGCTGTTAAGGTATGCAAACAGTGATGCCATTTTTTAATTCAAATGCTTTTATTTCAAATGGAAACTAATCTTACCAGTGCAAAACTCCCACAAAGGCAGCTGGGAAAAGAAAAAAGAAGAGTCATTGAAGGCGGCCTTCTTATGGTAATTATAATATACCCTTAAAACAACTATTCCAAATGCATCCCCCCCTCTATGTCTAGAGAGAGCTCACTAGAGCATGGTGGCTAGCTAATTCTGTCTACGTAACATCAGGAAAATCCCAGAAGCTCATAAAACAAATTGTGAGCAGAGCTTACCTCGGGGGGGAGGGGGGGCAGAGGGAGACACTTGGAAGACTATATCTCATTGACTTCATTTGCAAACGAGTGATGAAATTGCTAATGATTTGGACCTTTTTGTGATTTTTTTCAGTATCATTCTCTCTTATTTTCCCTGTTACTCTCTATTTATTTACATCAAGTTTTAAAAAGAACCACATATACACACTATGATCAGCTCAGTCCTTTGAGAAGTGACTCGAGCCAACAGGAGCCACTCTGGCCCACTTTCCCTGGTGCTCATCAGAAGATGGCAAAGGCAGGAAGTGCGGCCTCAGCAGTACCTGAACTCCCCTTGGGGCAAGTCAAACCTTTGCTGAGCCTTGAGAGCCCCCAGACTCCTGGCCAGGGCGGCTCATCTGGAGTCCCCACGTCAGTGTCCTAGGAATGAGGCTTATCATGGAGCTGCCAGGCAGGGCAAACCCTGATACTGCTGTGGGCTTTTTGAGGAGCTCCAAACACTGTCCCCTCTGGTGGCTGGGACTCCTTATTTCCAAGGATATCATGGAGTGGGGGAGAAGGGATGGCAAGAGGCCAACTAAAACCCCACAAACCCCACTGTTCTTACAGGGTTCCAGCAGTTTTTCTTGAATAAATGCACTCTAGATTGTTGTAAACCTCTGGTTAGTTTCTAAGGATCTGAAAATGTTGATTCTCATAATATTCCAAGTAGTTTTGTTACTGTCACAGAGGAGTGAATTTACTTACCTATTCCTGATGTCCTGCCTCCTCGCCAAGATTTTATAATAGTATTTCTTATGGTTGTTCCAAAATATACTTGGCAAGACATTTTATATTAACCTCTTAAAAATTAAAAAAAAATTACTCAACTTGGCCAACAAAATAAGTGCAAATTAATCAATAAGTCAATTAATAATAATAAAATCCTGCAATGCTGAAGGCTCCCAATCACGTCTCCGAGTCTTCTTCCGTGTTCCTAACCATCCTGGGCTCGTCCCTACAACTGCTCAATACGTCTCAGATTTGCTTGTTTTATACCATGATCAGCAAACTGAAGGCGACTCTCTGTTCCTGTCCACTAGCTAACAATGGTTGTCACATTTTTAAAGGCTATAAAAAGGAAGGAGAACAAGTGATGGAGACTGTATGTGGCCCGCGGAGCTTAAAATACTTACTACCTGGCTCTTTACAGAAAAAGTATACATTCGCTATGCACGTTAACTCTTTCTACTAATATATGATATACCCTGAGCCACTTTGAAGTTAAACCTGTACCCTCTCTCTGAACTTGAAACAGATGCCCCTCTGATCAGGCTTCACTGGCTTTAAAATACACAGACACCGGCCCTGGCCCCTGTGGCTCAGCTGGTTCGGTGTCGGCCTCTGCACTGAGAGGTTGCGGGCTCGGTTGCCGGTAGGGGGCGTGCAGGAGGCAGCCAATATTTCTCTTTCTCAAAAAAAGCCCCAAATCAACTAAAAAATCAATAAAATACACAGAGAGTGTCCTATTCAGCTACATTTGTATGCTCTTTCTTATTTTCCAGACAACTATATAGACTGGTGGAAACTCTTAAAAGTTATACTTCAGGAAAAGGGAAAATGAAATATCCTACTAAATCCATCTAGCTTTCCCAAAGTCCTCACCAATATTCTCCGCCTCTCACTCCCTCCCCTTACCCACATTCCACACCTGATCAAATGATAAGGTGTAATAATACCAATATCCGAAATGCATAAGGCGTGGTGGTAACGCAGGTCTCCTGGGCCCCTGGGTCCTACTAACCTCACCTCTGAACGTGACCCAGTCTTACAGTTACTGAAACAAAGACCATCTGCAACAAGCATCCCAAACTTCTGCCCACTTGGAGGTTCCTCTACAGTCATCCTTGCTTTTCTAACTCTCTTTTCCATAGTTAGCTTCTCAAATGCGTGTCTTTAATTCCATCCTTAACAAGGTCTGCCCCTCAGCAGCTAACCCCTCATTTTTACGCGCTGTGATAAACGGGTGCCCTGATGATGAAATTTTGTCGGTGACGTCCAGGTGACCCCGGAAAATGTCTGAAACCAAGAACTAAGGGGGCTGGGGACCTCGCCAGCGACTTCCCGGAGCTGGGCCCTTGGCACCCATTACTGCTACTAGGCTTGCCTGTGAGACGGGTCCTCTTCCAGACGCCCCCAAACCGCCCCAAGCCCAGGCGCAGAGGGCCCGCGGCGCTCACCTAGGCCTGCGGTGGCCCGCAGCGACAGCTGGCGCCTCCGCAACACGTGCACCTTGTCGCGCAGCTGCTCCAGGACGCAGTTGAGAAACTGGAAGCGCTGCAGGAACAGGCTCTTGGCGACCACTTGCATTTGCACGCAATTCTGCGCTTTGGACTTTCGGGGCCTCCGCGGGGAGTGGGGCCGGGCGGCCCTGGGCAGGTTGCCGCCGCCTACGGGCCTGGGCTTGGGCTTGGGCTTGGGCCTGGGCCTGGGCCTGGGCTTGGGCGCGGGCGGCCCCGGCTTCTCCGCCTCCT